GGTGGGGCTGTTTCAGCCTCTGACTCGGGCTCTCCCGTCATCGGCAGAGCCGCCCCCCAGAACCTGATGCCTGTACGCTTCTTGGACTTCAACTCCCATGATTCCCAGCCACCCGGGCCGATGGGGAAGCTGCATCGGGATTGTGGGAGTTGAAGTTCGTCGTATCGGTAGGGGTTGGGGAAGGGCATCTTGGCTTGCCAAGGATTGAAGATGCATCCTTGGTGGGGAGGGGGAGTGTCCGGTTCCCATCAAGCCGAGCTGGGCCTCGTGAGGCCTCCCCTGTTGGGGGGGGGGGCTTTCTTCTTCTCGAATCAGGGCATCCACATGGGGAGGGGGCATCAGTTTTACGTCCCCATAAATGGGATGGTGCATAACCTTTGAATTCAAAAGGATGACAACTCTGTAAGCTTAAAAAGGGCTTCAGGGTGTTGGAGGTGGGCAAGCTGAAGCCTCTGACTTTCCCCCTTAGTCTTAGGATTTTAGCTAGAAGTAAATCTCATTTCTTAAATGTCGTATTTTACAATCTTAAGGATCTTAAACCATGCCATTCTGAGCCTTGTGTATTGGCCTGGACTTTAGAACATCCCTAGGTGTGCTGCGTCTCAAGTTAGATTTGTGACGGTCTGATGGGCTAAAATGCATGCCTAGATCCTTAAGAATCACAGCTAAGTTATTGCTAGGCTTGTAACTTGCTGTCTGCAGTTGCTACAGTTGGCACGCCACCTGCCTATTAATATTGTGAGTACCACAGCTTCATCCTCTAAATGGAGAGACCGGGAAAATTGAAAGCTATTCATGGTTTCAAGCCAGCAGAAGTAGGTTTAGGTTCTATTAATATTTACCTTTTGATTTTCTCACACCCTCTGTGATGCCAAGTTGTGAGCTATGCTAAGTGCTTTGTATTTAGATGAGTAAATGCATGCAAGAATTGGCTGGCTTTTCCTCTGAAGAGAAGTTAGTAGAAGTTTTGGGAATTGGACGTCATACTGGGGCATGCCCTAGCAGTGAAAAGATTTCATAAGTACATGTATACTCGCCATGCACGAGACCTGCAGCTTTTTCAGAAATATCTAGCATCATATAGCTCATGGCAGACAGTGTAATATATAAAATTTAAGAATCTGGTATTTATTAATTGTTAATTAGACGTATATCCTTTTATTTTTTACAGCTTAAGGCAGCATACAGAATGCTATTTCCTCCTATTTCCCCCACAAATGACAGACTTGTGAAGTGGGTTGGGCTGAGAGAGAGAGAGGGACTGGCCCAAAGTCACCCAGTTGGCTTCCATGCCTAAGGAAAGGCCAGAACTCACAGTCTCCCAGTTTCTAGACTGGCACTTTAACCACTACACCAAACTGGTTCTTGAAGCTGGTGTTTCTTATCTAAAAGCTGATATTCTATAATATTCTGTAAGGTTGGGTTGGATTGGGATCAAATAGCAATTGTTGCCCATCCTTTCTCCATCCAGAAGGTAACTGCCTCTTAGCAGAAAGTGATAAAAAAAAAAGGTTAAATGTCTTTGAAGTGCCACAAGACTCTTCCCCCCCCTCCCTTAATGTAACTGGTTAAGATGCTACTTCTTTGAAAGCTGTGGTGGTTTTACACCTAGATTATCAAACTGCTCCCTTTCCCCATTTTCTCTTTTTGTAGTTACTATCCTGAAATCACTTGCTGTGGAAAGTATCCAGAATCGGACAGCACGGGCACTCGGCAACTTGGCTGTAGACTCAGAAAATTGCCAGGCCATCCATGAAGCAGGTTGAACAGGGGCTGGGTGGGAAAGGGGGGTAGAACTGTGCGAGTGTAGAACTGAGATTTGCAATGTGTGTGTGTGTATTCATACACACACATACACACACATACACACACAAGGACTCAGGTAATCTGATAATTTACAACAGGTAGTCCTCGCTTACTGACCACTTGTTCAGCAACCTTTTGAAGTTACAATGGCGCCGAAAAAGGAGACTTGTGACCTGTCCTCAAAGTTGTGGCCGTCGCAGCATCCCCACGCTCACATGATCACAATTTGGTTGCTTGGCAATGGCGCACATTTACGATAGTTGCAGCATCCCGCAGTCATGTGATCACCCTTTGCAACCTTCACAGCTGGATTCCAACAAGCAAAGTCAATGGGGAAGCTGGCAGGAAGTCGCAAGTCATAGTCACCTGATGTTACGCTTCACAACTGTGGTGATTTGCTTAATGACTGCAACTGGAACTGATATTGTAAGTTGGCATGGTCATGTGACGTTGTGCTTAATGACTGCGCCGCTTAGTGGTGGAATTGCTGGTTCCAATTGCAGTTGGTAAGTGAGGACTCCCTGTACTGTGGAGACAGGAGGAATAGCTATCTTTCTCACCCATCTCCCCTTTAACCATTAAAGGGAACCTCAAGTTTATTTTCCAACATTGTTAGTCGGACTTTCCCCTTCTTCCTCCCTCTTTCTGTCATGCACGCGTACACGTACACACACACACAGATTAAGAGCTGCAAACTGCTTAGAGTCAATATGGCATGAGAGATAATGATTCTGTGCTCAGCAGTATCAGGTGCCCTCAGGCAAATTTCTGTTTGCCATGTCTCAGCTCCCCTTTACCAATATGCGGATAATTATCAACTCTGTTGTGTATCTGTACCACCTATCATATTCTTGGCTATGCTGAATTTATTTATTTATTTTATTTATATTTCAAATTTGTCACCACCCATCTCACTGTGTGGTGACTCTGGGCGGTTTACAGTAAAAATAGAATATTGATTAAAATAGATAAATATTAATTAAATAATTACAATATGTTCAAAACACACTTCCTTTATAATACATCCAAGAGACAGATGTTAATTAGATGTTAATAAACTCAGGGCGCATCATCAAGGTGCCAGCCATCCCCAGGGTCAATTGTATCTTTCCTTGCCCCAGGCAAGTTGGCAGAGCCAAATCTTCAATTCCCTCTGAAAAATTGGGAGGGTCGGGGCCCGCCTCACCTCTGGGGGGAGAGTATTCCATAGGGCGGAGACAATGGCAGAGAAGGCCCTCTTCCTAGGACCTGCCAGTTGACATTCTCTCACTGACGGGATCCACAACATGCCTTCTCTGCTGGATTGGGTGGGACGGGTCGATGTAATGGGGGTGAGACAGTCCCTCAGGTAGCCTGTAGGGCTTTAAAGGTGATAGCCAACACCTTGAATTGGACCCAGAAACAAACTGGGACCCAGTGCAGCTCCCGCAGCAAAGATGTTACATGTGCTCTCCTTAGGGCACCCATGATTACCTGCGCAGCCACATTTTGAACCAGCTGTAGCTTCCGGATACTCTTCAAGGGTAGTCCTATGTACAGCGCATTGCAATATTCTAAATGAGAGATGATTAGTCTAAAAGAGAATGCTTGAAATAGTAAATAAAAACTTTCACTTTTTATATATTCTATTAATAATATTTGGTGTAAACTCTGAAGGAAGTTGTACATATTTAAAAACTCCTTAGTGGAATTCATACGGCATAGTAGAATCTTTGCAATAACAGTTTTGTCAGATGTGATGCTCTACAAACAGACTGCAAATTAAAAGCAGTGATATGTTAAGCATCTCTGCATAGTGATAGATCCAGAGCATTCTTTCTGCTAATCTAAAAATTTGCAGGATGGAGAGATGGTGGTGGTGTCATTTTCTTTGTTGGTAACTTGGAAGGGATTTGGGTGGCTTTCCATGATTGGGGATCAAGTTCCAAATTACTCTGCTGAAGTTCCAGTGCAGCCTTTGGTAGTATTCTCCATATCCTGGGGAGAAATGGTGTCACTGGAAACCAGAGCAATTAATTAATTAATTAGATTTCTGTATTTGCCCATCTTGTATACCAGTGTTTCTCAATCTTGGCAACTTTAAGACATATGGACTTCAACTCCCAGAGTTCCCCAGCCAGCCTGCAGGTAGAGGAATTCTGGGAGTTGAAGTCCACATGTCTTAAAGTTGCCAAGGTTGAGAAATACTGTTGTATACAGTAACCCTAGGCTGCTCAGAACAGCAACAATAAAGCCTAAAAAGAAAACAAGAATACTAAAATCAAAACTACACCTCATGGCACCCCAAAGACAACATTCCCCCATACATTTTTTGGGCTCCCCTCTCACCCAAGCCCAGTGCATGGGGGAACAGTCAGCTTTTCATGGCCTCCCAGAAGGCTAAAAGGGTGGAGGCCTACCGGATCTCAGGTAGATCTCCTAACGGAAGCCTTTTATTTTTGCTGCTTTCTTTAAGCGGAAAGTAAAGTGAGTAGCCACAGTTAGTGCAATTGGCCTGACAGGTAGACGGTAGCAAGGTTACTTGATGCAATTGTCAGGCAAGTTGTCATGGTTGATGTGGTACCTTTGAGCGCTGCTCGGTCACAGCAGTCAGTGAAAAGTTGAGTACCTAAGAATGAGCAGAGATGCAGGCTAATCGAAATGCCTGGAAAGGTGTCTGGCGGACTCCTGTTTAGAATACCTAGGATCTTATAACAGGACTACCCTTTCTCTTTTATGCCATTCCCCCCCCCCAAATGTTTCCATTACAGGAGCTGTGCCCCAACTAGTCCAGGTCCTCACCACCTCCCAGGAGAGCGAATGTTTGCAGAGCGTGATCAGGGCCATTCGCTATCTGGCCAATACTCCCGCTCATCGTCTTGTGCTGGCCCAGCAGGGGGCAGTCCGCCCCATAGCTGAGCGCTTGGCTTCCTCCCTGGACGATGGGCCTCTGGTTGCAGCAGCCGTGCGTGCCCTCATGGAGCTGACGAAGGGTTGCAGTCGTGACTGTGCGGAACAGCTCAGCCTGGGAGGTGGGGTGGGGCCGCTCGTGGCCTTAGCTGGTCATGAGAAACGAGTCGTGCAGGAGTCCGCACTTTCAGTCCTCGCTAACCTCTGTCTGCAGGGCATGCTGAGGCCGGCTATAGGCAACGCTGGGGGGGTGGAATTGCTAGTGGGGGAGATCCAACGACGGAGGGGAGCTGGGGCACCTGGGGCCTCCCTCCATCCGCTGGTGAAGGCCTTGTGTCTGCTGTGCCGGGAGGCTGTTAATCGAAGCCGGGTGCGTGAGACTGGAGGGTTAGAGTTGCTGCTCTCCCTGTTGCGGGACCGATGTCACAGCTCTTCACATGCTCGTGTGGTGGTGGCCTTTGTGGCCTTTTTCTATGATGAGGAAGCCCTGGAGCTGCTACAGGCTGGAGGGCTGGTGCCCTTGCTGGTTGGCAGGCTGGCAGCCCAGGGCCAGTGGGCAGGTCAGGAACAAGTGGAGGAGGAGGAAGAACGTGAAGATGAAAAAGAGGCGGCATCGTTTGACTTCCCTGCCGAGGGCCGGCGAGGAGAGCAGGCCTTACCAGGAGCAGAGTCCTCCAGCTTTCAGAGTCTCAGGTAAATTTGGTTTCCAACTGGATGCCCTCTTGGTGCAGGGGCTGTTCTGAACGGCTTCAGATATGTTGGACCACAACTCCAGTTGTCTGCAGCCCCGGGGTCAGTGGCCATGTTGGGCTTGGGTTCCAGTAAGAAGGATCATATTCCAATGTTCTTAAAGAGTATCAAAGTGGAAAAGGTAGGTTTACGAATCGGAGAGGGGTGAAGTGAGTTTGAAAGGCTGCTGAATAAAGCTTCTTACATCCTGAAGCCCATTTGAGAAATGCAAATTCCATGACAGTAAACCTGGGTAGACAATAAAAAATAAAAACTCCTCATCGATTCTTTAGGTTTTTAACACTTATGCAAATTAAGGACGTCTATCTTGCATACCTGATTCTGGTATTCCAAATTTGGGGAATTCTAGGAAAGCCCTGGCAAACTGAAAAAGAAGTATCAAAATGAGCTGGTGGGCAGTAAATGTTGGAGGTAAACAGAGCTGAGCAGGTACGTTACTCCTTTCTCTAATCATTGCCAGCTCTGCTTTCCTCCTCCAAAGTTTTAAATTCATATGGCTTACAGATTCAACTGTTTGTTTTTCTTTTAATGGGAAGTTGGATTTCTCTGAATTGGTGCCTCCTATTTGAATTGCTCCCTAAAACTCTATTTCTATGCTTCAGCAGGTGATAGTGCCTGGCCGACCATGTCAAGCTAAGCAGAGTCAGGCCTGGTTGGTACTTGGATGGGAGACCTGCAGGGAATACCAGGCCTATAGGTGATTGGAAATTTAAAAAAAAAAAATCCCAGAAGGCCTAGACATGTCTATGAAGTCACCAGGAGTCGAGTTTGACTCGAAGGAGACTCATATATTCCTATAGAATGCAGGTATAGTTGGTAATATCCGATTTCCTCTCTGTTTTACTTGTTGAGAAAATCTTCTGATGTGTGTTCACTTCTAGCCCTGCACAGCATTCCCAGCCATCTGCAGGAGAAGGCAAGGGATGAGATGTGTGTCATGCTGTTATACTAACACGAAAATTCAGGGTAGGGATGCAATTATGAAAAGGTGGGGTTTGTGCCCTGAATGGCTTGGCACACCTTTCATTACTTTTCCACCAGGTACGGATGCCCGTGTCAGCATCACTCTGCAGACAGAGAGTCTTCTGTCATGCTAATACAGATAATTGAAACATTTGCAGCTGAGAGGCTGCCAGCTGAGCTGTACAGAATCTCTTTTCCAATATTTCTAACCAAAGGTGCTCCTTTTTTGTTCTTGAGATCCCTCCTCTCCCCACTCCAGATCTTCCACCGCTTATATATTTCAAGGCTTATTCTTCTGTGTCTCTCTTCCTTGTACCCAATTCAGATCCTGGCTTCTCTCGGAAGGTTATATTTCCAGTCCAGGAGATCTTTCTCCACAGTGGTCTCCTGATACCACCCTTTCTGAGCTGGAGGCCCAAGGAGGTGTTAGTCCCAGCCAAGAACTACAAGATGAATCTCTGGGACCTTGCCACAGCATGTCTGGGATGAAACCCCATTCTAGAGCAGAATCTCCTGATTTCCTACATTCTCCTTTTTTGGATTTGCCTCTTGTGGGGCAGCCCAGTATTTCAGAGGCTTTAAACTCGGCAGTGAGAGATGGAATTCTTCCAGATCAGAACCTCTGTCCTGCAGCATTACCTTTGTTGGCTGAATCTGAAAATTTCCATCCAGAACCTGTCTTAGAGGTTCCACCTTCAGATGGGAATAAGGAGCAAAAAACAGTTGGAGCCAATACGGAGCAGAAGGTGCTGGTGATGTCAGAACTGGCAAATTTAGAGGAGGAGCTCTCTGGGGATGATGTCTTAAAGCTGCCTTGTTCATCCATGTCAGGGGAAATGCCAAATTCAGGGATGATAAATTCAGGAAAAGTCGATGGCAGGGTTGAACAATCCACTTGGGTTGCGTTGGTAACCAACCAGAATAACCCTGGGCCCAGTAACTCCATTCCAGTGATGTTGATTCCAAGCAAGAATGACCAAAGCCAGCTGTCACCCAGGCCTGTTGCCAAATCCCCGGTCACAGAGGAAGTGTGTTTGGTCCCTCCAAAGCTGAGCGTTCAGACTCTCTCAAGTTCTCCTGAGGAGTACAAGATGCCGACCTCTTGCTGGAAACGGCGCGCCAAGCTGCGCTCCACCTTTGAGCAAAACACATCACTGCAGGGGTTGCGCCCTGCCGGCGAGGCTTCGTCTCCCTGGCTTTCCTTGGCCTTGCCTCTCTCTTTCTCTCCCCACGAGGGCGACCCAGACCTCCATGCTCCCGAAGCCCCAGCTCTGCTCCTCCTTTCCCGTTTTTCTCAAGCTGAGGATCCTAGTCGCAGCTTAGTGACGCCGGCCACCCTGCAAGGGCTGTTGCGTTACATCACCGGGAGCCCTTCCCCTTCCTCTCGTTGCCTTCGACTGTTGCATCGTCTCACCTGCAACCCAGCCTGTCTGGAAGCCTTCGTGCGCTCCTACGGGCCCTCGCTCATCAGGGCTTGGTTGGTCCTAGGCGTATCCCCTGAACAAGCCGCTACCGCCGTCACTGGTGAACCAGAAGAAGAGGAGGCGAGCAGTTTGGACACTGAAAAGTGTGACCCCAGAAGATTCAAGGAACTTGGGTGTGTGTGTGTGTGTGTGTGTGTGTGTGTTACACCATCCCTGTAGTTTAGGACAGTCTTCTCCCACCTGGGAGAGCTGTGTAACTCCCCTCATCCTAGTCAACATGCATCCTTCGGATTACAGGAGTTGGATGTGTTAGACTACGTCCATAGGTACTTGGTTGGGAAGGCTGTCTAGAATATTGGGATTCTATCTCTGCCTACCCCTAACACCAAGGGTCTCACGTTGGGGATCTTCTCATCTCTGCTTTATACCTTAATGTCCCACCTCACTGGGTCTTTGGTATCAGGGTAACTGTTGACCTGGACCAAAGTGCTGGGAATCCTGATCTCCCTCTGCTGTTACAAGTGGTATTGTTAACCAAGAGTCAGTAGGTCTTGGTGACAGGATGGGCAACAGGCAGCCATTTCAGATGTTGAGCAGCAGTTCTCACGATCTTGTTGGTTACTATAGTGGCTGTAGCTGAGAAGAGTTGGGGTTCAACAGTGTGGGGTGGGGGACATTATTCATACCTGCCTGCTTTTCAATCAAGAGAGAGCCTCTTGTTTCCTGTGTAATCAGTAAAATAGGCCTCTTGAGCTTAATGTGGAGCAGGAAGAGAAATGAAAAAAGCCTGTGAAGGTAGTATGACCTATTGATTCCCCCAAATTGTTTGCTGCTGTTCTTCCCAGTCGATACAGATTGCCATTTTAGATGGCGACGCTGCGTCTAACCCGCTGCCTGTTCCCCCCTCCACAGGAGAGACGCTACTGATGAACCTGTGCGTGCAAGCAGAGTCCCCCTTCGGGGTGGGCGTTCTCACTCACATGCTGCTGTCAGGCTGCGAATCGGACCAAGCAGCCTCTGCACTGGCCCTGCCCCTTATCTGCCGGTGAGTCGGGCATCCCTTTCTGCACCAGAAGAGGCTTCAAACTGGGCTGAGGAGGGAAAATGTTTTCTTCCTCGGGCGGCTGTCAAAATGGCAGCAACCTTTTGGAGTGAGTCATTCACATGACTCACTTAAGCAAGTCAGATGAAGACCTAGCAGACACTTACGAGGGCTTAATATTAACCTTGGTGGTCTTTTTTGTGATTGTGCGTTGTGTGAACGCAGCCCATTTTCTTAGGATACATTTCCATGTAACGGGTGAACACCCGTGATATGCGAATGCAGCTGCTGCACATGGTTGTCTCAGGTTTCTGTTTATCCCCAGAGGTTTAGACATTGGGGCTTAGTGGCTCTGGAACCACAAATGCTCTGCATCCCCAGATGGGCTGCAGATGGGAGAACGGTTCTTTAACCTGTGGGAGATCTTTGAAAGACACAGTGGCGTGGGAGGAAACCGGTTGGGGTGGTGTGACCTCACAGTTCTGGAAAATGTGAGGAGAAGGGTGCATACCATCAGAGGTTGCCCCAGATTTGGGGAGAAGAATCGCCAGGAGATGGGGGAGAGAAACGCGATTGAGTTGCAGCAGGTGGTGATGCTCCTCGTTGTGTCTCCTCTTGGCTGCAGGAAGGATTCTCTTTGTCGGAAGCTTCTGCTGGACCTCTCTGGCCTGCGGCTCTTGCTAGGGGTCCTGGTGCGGGATCCCGACCCCTATTTTGTCTTCTACACCTCAGACACTCTTTCCCTCCTCCTGAGCTCCCAAGCTCCGACTCCTGCTTCCGTCTCGTCTCCTACCTTGAAGCGGCCTCGCCTGGATTCCCCGCTGCCTTGTCCTTACTCTCGCATCGTGGATGAAGGTGGGGCCGACTTGTTCTTTCAGCTGGACTCTGGCTGCAGAGTGCCAGCCTTGCGCCAGGCGGTCAGCGGCGCCTCTGAGGTCTTCCGGGCCATGCTGAGTGGAGGGTTTGCGGAGTCATCCCACACCACCGTGACTCTTCGCAATGTGCTGCCAGAACCCTTCCTGGCTCTGACCCACTTCCTCCATGGCTGTCGCGGCAAGTGCTGCCAGGTCTTGGGAAGGCCATTTCCCCTCGCTTTGGCAGAAGAAATCCTGGTGGTTGCTGAACAGTATCTCCTCCCAGAGCTGCAGGCGTTGGTGGACGAGGCCTTGTGCCAAGACTCTCTCTGCCCTGGGACTCTCGGGGAGGTCTACCGCCTGGCCGAGCAGCAGAACCGGCCCCGCCTCCTTCGGAATTGTGTGGCTTCCGTTTTCCTCCGGGAGGGGTCAACCCCCACCCACCGAGCCACTGCACTGGCACAGCTGCTCCGATCCGTTGCAAATCCCAGCAGTTTAGCCGCAGAGCTGCTCGGAGTGGTGTTGGAATCTCCATGGGGCTGTGGCTCAGAGGGCCAGCTAAGCTGACCGATGGGTCCTCGTGCCTCCTCTCTCCCAGTTCTTACGCACAACTGAAGCAGTGATGCTGGTGTGAATCGGGCGAGGGGGAGGGAGGCTGGAGTGTTAAGTGAATAAATGGCAAGGTGCTCAGAAAAGGGGAGTCTGGGTCAGTGGATGGTCCTGTGGTGGTCAGAGCTTCAGCCTAATGGGGAGAAGAATGTGGGAGCAAGCACTTCTTGATCGGCTGGGGGTGAGACTGGGGGGGGAAGAGGGAGGTCTGGTATTGGAAACATGGAGCTGCCCTGCCAGCTGCTAGACAAACCAACTTGGGTAGAAGCCATAGAAGTCCTATTTGGGAGTATAGGGAATCCTTCCTGTCAAGACAGGAGCCCTGCTTTTTGATTGGTTGAAACTCAAAGCAGGTCATTTTGGTCGGAGCAAGCTGTGAAAAGGGCTCAGCTTTGAATACATAGCCTGTGGGGCAGCCCTGTTCTGGTGCTAGTTACTTCAGAATGAACCCCAGTCTCAGCACTGGAGATGTGCCTTCTCTGTGCACGGAAAGGCTTTCAAGAGACGTCAGAAGGGTGTGACTGTAACAGAAGGAAACTGAGTCAGCAGGAGGCCCACCATGCAGCTGAGGGCACTTGCAGAAGGTTGAGATGCTGTCTCCTTCCAGAGGAGGCAAGGAGGCATTTATGCCGAGCGCCTGGGCTCAAGGGGGCATGGCCCAATTGTGCAGTTGGAACGATGATGTGTATAAACTGTTGTACATAGAGAAATACAGAGAGCTGTGAAACGCTCAGAATGTCTGTGTAGCTTGCCCTTATTTCCTGAACAGAACATAAGGAAGACGGGGCAGCTTTTCACCACTCGTACTGAAGACTAATGCACATGGGTAGTCTCTGCAAAATCGAAATTGAAAACCGGTTGAGAGACCTTGTTGTGCAGATCTGCTGCTGAACAGAGCCCTGGCAAGGTTTATTCCCCTCTCCCCCCCCCCCCCCCCCCCCCCCCGCGGGGGGGGGGGGGGGG